CTCTCATTCGTACGGTTTATTTCTACCTCGCGATTTAATTCCTCCCGTAATTCGATATTCGATTGTGCAAGTTGCACGAATGCCGGATCTAGAGAATTATTTTTTTCCATTTTATATTCTGAGAGTAAAAAATGTGGCAAATTACGAGAAGGCGGGATTGGTCGATGAAATGCCATGGTATTACGAAGTAATGAGACTTTGTCTCTTGACTTATCTCTCGACTTTGTTAAAACATATTTTATTGCTATAGTAAAATATATCAAAAATGAGTAGGCCCTTAGACCTTGCTTCGCATAGATTGAGCACGCCTATTATTAGAATCGATCCAGACGAGGAGGTAAACTTAATTTGTAAATTGCTTTTTTACCGATCCACTGGTTATCATTCCAATCCTCGAAAGCTGTATAATGCTATCAAAGATAAAGGATATAATTTCCCATATAAAAAAGTTCGTGAATGGTTACATAACCAGAATGAATGGCAAAAATATGCCCCACCGCCGAAAGATACTCCACGGGTAAGTTATGGAAAAATTCAAAAACTAAATTGTGTACATCAGTGCGACCTCTTATTTCTTACGCATGATAAATATAAGGGGAAGACATGGAAAGCAGTATTACAGATTATAGACGTGTCTAGCAGATTCAAAGCGAGTGTTCCTCTAATATCGAAGAATAGTTCTGAAGTTGCTAAAGCATTTAGGAAAATTTATGATAATCCCAATAACCCTCTTACGTATCTGACACTTCTACAATGTGATGGTGGGACGGAATTCAAAAAATCGGTAAGTCAGCTAATGGAAGCGCATAATGTCATAATTCGAGTAATTGGTGCTTATAGTCATCGTGGATTAGCTCTTGTAGAACGATTTAATAAGACGTTAGCAGAGATGCTTTATAAAATCCAATATGCCGTTGAATCAATATCTAAAAATCCTAAATTAATGAGGAGTGGGTCAAGTATTTGCCAGAAGTAATAGATTATCTTAATAATTATCCGACACGTCTCATTCGAGCTCCAGGTTCATCAAAATGGGGTTTAGCTCCAGCAAAAGCTATTAAACTGGAACGAGTAGAATCTAGGCCATCTACAAAGTATAAGCGTCCCGTTGGAAAGGATGAGGAGAATATGTTGAAGAAAGGTGATACAGTTCGCTATCTGCTTGCTAATGCGGAGTGGGAAGGAGATATGGAAAATCAGAAAAGGGCTACGGACCCGACGTTTTCACCTTCTTTACATAAAATTCGAAAAATAGTAGTAACGAAAAATGAACCGGTTTTATATTATCTTGGAGATGATGATGATGAATATGCTCCAAAGCGTGGATTTGTGCGAGAGGAGCTCATGAACGTAGATCTAGAAAAACTTCAGTATCCGCCTCAGAGTATATTGGAAGAAAAAACTCGTTCCAGATCTATCAATTTTGTTCGTATTATTAATAAAATGGCTAAGGCTGAAGAGTATGCAAAGAAGCGTAATGGAAAATGTCTTGGTAAAACTAGCCAAATAAATGATTTCGACGTATATCTCTGGTCATGCGAAAACGGACTCCATCAATGGGAAGCACCTTATAAGACCCAGAAGCGTAAATTTGAATGGTGCCCCCTATGTCCTCATTTTAAAGGGGAGCGATCCACGAGATATATTTTCGAAGATCTGCTTGGTAAAAAATTTCCATCATGTAAACCGTCATTTTTGAATGGGATGCAATTAGATGGGTATAATGAAGAATTAAAATTGGCGTGGGAATTTAACGGGGTTCAACATTATTCTCAGAATTCAATGTTTCATAAACGAGGAGAAATAGATTTAGATTCACAGAGGAAGCGTGATCAAAAAAAGCGGGATATATGCAAAGAGCGAGGTATAGATCTTATTTGTATCCCATTCGATTGTGATTTATTTCCCTATATAAAAAGCAAATTACAAGAGAGAGGTTATTTATCGTATAAAGAATAAATATTGCTTATCTTGGTTAGAATGAAAGATAAAGACATGCCCATATTTGTATATAATATTGACGAGATATCAAACAAATCCTCAGAACGAATGAAATCTAACAAATATGCCCCCGACTGGCCTTTTAGACTCCTCGT